GAGTGTCTTCTTCAAAATTTGACTTCAACAGTAAATTTGCTACCTGAGTTTGGAGTAGGCTTATTTGGTTATAATGACTTGTCACTAGAACATATGGAAAATGGAAAAGCAGAGGAGTTTCTTTATATCCTCGAGTAAACCTAGCCACAAATCAATTGGAGTGATAAAAAAAGGATTTATGTTATGACCCTAGTACTTTTTTTTTTAAAGGCTTATTGTCGTGTCGATATCTGATCATTAAAAAGGCGTCACAACACATATAGTTGTAAAGGGGAATAGTCCCTTTTAATGCTTTAATTTTGGTCCATAAGAGCATGAATTCTCAAAGAAGAGGAACATGCATGTAAAAAGAGAGTGGGGAAGGTTTTTTTAATGGGTTGAAGAAATTTTGACTCAATCATATCTATCACATCATGAGGACATAAACTATCATGGAAATCTTTATGTTGTAGCACAACCGATGTAAGAATAATATGTGAGATACTTTAACTTTTGATCTATCACTACTCTTTCAATTATCCAAATTACGACCTGCTACTGAGAAATTAGAGTGGATTTCTCCTCCTTTACCGGTGATTTTTTCCTTCTTGTATTCCACGTAAATCATGTTGTTCTTGTTTATTTTATTATTGTCATTATCTTACGATCAATTTACAACAAGTGGTATTAGAGTAAGGTTGATTGTTTCACATGGCATTGATGAAATATGATATTTAGTTATTGGATTGAAACACAAGATTTATTTTATGGCAAGTGAAGATGCAAGCAATTAGACTCTCATAAGATGCCTTCAACTTGGCTGCAGAACTAAAAGTTGCTTAGGGATCGGAAAGGCCAATCCCAATTTCATCTATATCTATCAAATCAAATTCTTCAGAATGTTCTCAAGGAGAAAAGTGTCATTGCGTTGTGGTTGAAATTGGAGCAATTTAGTATAACAAAGAGCTTGACCACCAAGCTACACTTGAAATAGCACTTGTATTCTCATTGGATGTTCGAAGGTACATCATTGGATGATCACTTAAATATGTTCAAAGAAATCGTAGCTGATTTGGAGACATTGGATGTTAAATATGATGAGAAGAACTTGGCATTCATGTTGCTGTGTTCACTATCGCCATCATGTGTGACTTTTAGAAATACTATTTTCTATAGTCGGGATACTTTCACTGTGGAAGAAGTCTACGATGCTTTACTATCTAAGGAAAAGATGATGCATCTTGTTGAAGGATCTTGGAGTTAGGCTAAAGGCCTAGTTGTTCGTGGAAGAAATCAGGATAGGAATCTAGGTAGGAATATTAGGGACAAATCGAAATTCAGACATACAGAAAAAGTATGTCACTACTATAAGAAGAATTGATATATTAGAGTTGATTGCTATTCTTTAAAAAATAGAAATAAGGATATAAATCTACTGAAAGAGGAAAGCAACTTATTAACACAACGGAGACTAATTTTGTAGAAGATGGACAAAGTAAAAGAGAGCTTCTTGTGATTTCTGACATGGATTCCAAACTTTGTAGAAATGGGTTCTTGATTCGGCTTGTACTTTCTATATGTGTCCCAACAGTGATTGATTTATAACATATGAATGAGTTTCGAAAGGTGCAGTGATTATGGAAAACAACATGCCTTGCAAAATTGTTGGTCGGTACAGTCAAAATTAGAATGTTTGGTGGTGTTTTTAGAACATTTACGGACATCGGGCCATTCCAAAACTAAAGAGATCTCATATCTTTGAGTACACTTGACTCAGAGGATTATAAATACACTGGTAAAGGTAGAGTTTTAAAGGTGAGTTGAGGCTCTCTTGTTGTAATGAAGGGATAGAAAAACTCTACACAGTTGTACATTTTGTATGGTTTCACAGTTATAAGAGATACAGCAGTTCTCACTTCTTCTTTGACTGATGAAGAAGTCACTATACTTTGGCATATGCGATTTGGGCATATGAATGAGAATGGTATGACATAATTGAGTAGGAGGGGACTTCTTGATTGACAGAAGGTAAAATGAAGTTTTGTGAGCATTGTATCTTTGGAAACAGAAAAGAATCAACATTCAAATGACAAAACATGAATGGAACACTTGAATATGTCCATTCAGATCTTTCGGGACTGACCAGGATACCTTCAAGAGAAGGTGCTTATTATCCGTTGACAGTAACTGATGATTTCTCCAGAAAAGTTTGAGTATTCTTCGTGAAATAGAGGAGTGATGTGTTTGGGACCTTTAATGTATGGAAAATAGTGATAGAAAAGGAGATTGGAAAGCGTGTTAAATATCTACGCATTAATAATGGGTTGAAATTTTGTTTAGATGAATTTAATAGCTTCTGCAGGGTTGAAATCATCTTGAAACACTTGAAAGTGCCCAGAACTCCTTAACAGAATGGTGTGCAAGAATGGATGAATAGAACTTTGATGTATGCTTTAAAATTCTAGGTTGCCTGAGACTTTTTGGGTTGAAACTGTTGCCACAACTTGTTTTCTGATTAATTGCTCATCTTCAACTGCCATTGAGAAAAAGACACCAAAAAAGATCTGGTAAACCTTCTTGTTATACTAATTTGAAGATTTTTGGATAACTTGCTTATGCTCATGTGGATAATGGAAAGTTAGAGTCTAGGCCTAGAAAGTGTCTTTCTTGGGTATAAATCAGGACAGAAGGGGTATAAAAAATTCTGGTATCCTGAGATAAAAACGTGGTGGATAATAGAGACGTAGTATTTGATGAATTTACTATGGTTCATGATTCATCTCAAGAGAATTCTAATAAAAATAAGGAACAGAACCATTCAACTCAGGTAGAGTTGAAAATTGGTCTAGGGGAATAATTAGATTTTTAGAGCAGTCTACTACACAACAATCTAGTTTAGAATTAATAGACAGTAATACTTTGCCTACACTACCAGCAACACCACAGTATTCCATTATTAAGGATAAACCTTGCAGACATATTAAACCTCCACAGAAGTATGGAGAATTAGATTTGGTAGCGTATGCTTTGAAAATTGTTGAAGAAATTAATTTGACTGAGAAGCCTTCTGCATATTCAGAAGCAGTCAGTTGCGGTGATTTTAGCATAATTGCTATACAGGATAAGATGGAGTCATTGAATAAAAATTGCACTAGGATGAAACCATCTAATGATAAAAGGGTTGTTAACTGCAAATTGATCAAGAGGAAAGAAGGGACAATAGGGATTGAAGATATTAGGTATAAGGCCAGATTGGTAGCAGAGGGTTACAATTAAATTCAAGGTGTTGACTTCATAGACGTGTTCTCGCTAGTTGTAATGCATAGTTCAATTCGGACTTTACTTGGGAAAGTGGCAAAGAATGACTTGAAACTTGAGTAGATGGATGTCAAGATAGCATTTTTACGTGAAGAACTTGAGGAGAACATTTATATGCAACAGTAGAGGATTTTATAGTTTCTGGAAAGAAAAACTATGTATAAAAGTTTACTGAGGTAGTGGTATAAAAGGTTCTATTCGTTCATGTCTACTTATAATTTCATTAGAAATAATTATGATAGTTGTGTATATTTTAGAAATGAAGATGGTGGATCGTTTACATATTTGTTATTATATGTTGATGATATGCTCATTGCAGTTAAGGATAAAGTGAAGGTCAGGAAGGTGAAATCTCAACTAAAGGAGTTTGAGATGAAAGATTTGGATGCAGTAAAGAAAATTCTTGGTATAAAAATTTTGAGGAATACAAATGTTAGCAAATTGTACTTGAGTCAAAAGGAGTGTATTGAGAAGGTGCTTTAAAAGTTCAATATGTTGAATGCTAAGGCAATCAATACTTCCTTGGCTGTCCATTTCAAATTATCATCTGGATTGTGTCCACAATCAGATGAAGACATTGATTATATGTATGGGGCTCCTTGTTCCAGTATAGTTAGTTTGCTGAAATATACTATAGTTAGTATAAGACTAGATTTGGCACATACTGTCAGTGCAATTCGTAGGTACATGGCAAATTTTGGCAATGATCATTCGAAAGCACTGCAATGGATATTCAGATATTTGAAGGACTCTTCTAATGTTTCTTGCATTTTAGTAGAAATATAAGTGGAGTCATTGGGTATGTAAACAAGATTATGCGAGAATCTTGATAAAAGGAGATCACTTACAAGATATGTGTTTACCTTTGGAAGCTATGCTATTAGCTAGAAGGCTACTTTGCAAAATATATTAACTTTGTTTACAATAGAGACAGAATATATAGTCATTATAGAGGCATGTAAGAAAGCTATGTGGTAAAAGGGATTAATTGGTGAAATCAGTGAAGACTTGCACATTTCTATAGCGTATTGTGATAGTTAGAGTGCTATTTTTCTAAGAATTAGATGTTCCATGAGAAGACTAAGCACATTAAAGTGAGGTATAATTTTATGCTGCTATGATTGCTCGTGGTAATATTATAGTAAGCAAAGTTGATAAGAAAAAAATTCCAGCTAATATGATGACAAAATCACTTTCCATTGCCGAGTTTGAGCGTTTCTTGAACTTAAATGGTATTTATCATTGATTTAGTCAATTGTGGATTGTTTGGAAGATGATGAGTAGTGTTTACTTTGGAGACATTTTTTTGGGAATTCCTCGTATTGGAATTTGGTTCAAAGTGGAGATTTATTGTAGTTTGACCCAAATTCTAGTGGGTATTGGAGTTGTATTATCAACATAACATTCATACATTTTGAGAGCTTTAAATGTTAGTTGAAAGCATTGATGTCTTATTGTAAATACAATTACTATTGATTAAAGTTAATTTATCCTCCTCTATCCGTGTTTTTTCCCGTCTTGGATTTCTATGTAAATCTTGGTGTTCTTAATTTGTTCTTGTTTATTTCATTATTATCATTATCTTGCGATCAATTTACAACAACTTATATATAATTTATACTGATAGTAAACCCGAGTGGACTGGCCTCACAACATTAGTCTATATATAGGTCATTTCAAGAATTTGGTCTGCATCGAAGCTGCCATTTAGAAGGATGTTAATGGTCATGAGGGACATGCCATGGAGTTTTGAAACATGTGGCTACTAGCGGGCCCTCTAAAGCTAGATACGTCTCGGCCATTCAAGCCTTTCATCCATTTTAGGTTTTGCACACCCCCATCCAACTCCGCCCTTCGCCACCATCAATTCTTCCCATTGACGCTTCTCTCGGCTGCACTTTTCAACTTCAAACGTTTTGCACAAAAAATGAAGGTACATGCATATATACGTGCTTAATTTCCATTGGTTGTCAACTTCTTAATTTTTGCTACATGCATGCTTTTGACATTTATTCTTGGTTTGACTCCATCTTCATTGTAGATCTTCAACTGGGTGCACCGCAAGTTAAATTATAAAGGTACACAATCCAATTTTATTATATCATTTTTTGGCTATCACTAGCTAATCTCATTAATTAGCTCTATTTAATTATATGCAAGCATATTTTACTAAAGAACCTACATAAAGATATTAATTTTTGAAAAAGTAGCGAAAACCCCTATTTATAGCGGTCTAACAATATTGGAGAAGTAAGAAATCAAGATCTGTAAAATGTGACAAAATAACGAAGAACTTATTTTCTTCTTTAACATTTTATTTTATTTTATTTTATTTTTATTATTATTATTATTATTATTTTTTTTTTTTGGAGATTTGTTTTGGGTTAATTAAAATTAATTTTGGCAGGAATTAGTGGTAATGAGAAACAAAATGCCAAAGACACTGATAAAGACATCCTACTTGAAGACATTGCACTTAGTGATATGCTCGATGGTTGGAAAGGAGGAATACTAACAATTGGAACATTTGGATTCGATCGGATTAATATTGAAGAAAAAGAGTATCTACATAGGGATGAGAATGAGGATGAGGAAGATGAAAGTAACGTGACTGACGAATCAGAAGAAGACGACGACGAGGACCAAGAGTCGAACCCATTGATGCATGCAGCTTATTCACATGAGGTTGAGGGTTCAACCTGTAATAATGCTGCAGAGGACACAATTAATGGCATCATTGATTCAGATTTCGATATGAAGAACATGAAGAAAGAGAGAATTACACTTGCAGATTTGTTCTATGCTGATTGTGATGAACAGGAAAAGTACAAGAAAAGTAAGGGAAAATTATTCGAGCCAGAATACAGTAAGAAATTATCTGCTCCAGAAGCAAATTATAAGCAGGGACGTACTTTCGCCAAGAAAGTTGTCCCACGAGTTGTAGAAGATTCTCGTCCTATCAAAAAACTGCACCAAGTAATTGTTTTCTGCCTTTATATTGGCCCTCTTTACATTAATTTTAGGGAAAATTGCAGCAACAGGCCCTAATCTTTTCATTTTTTGCAGACTTTACCCTAATATTCATTTTATGCCAGCAAAGGTCCCTTACTTTTCATAAATATGCACCTGAGGTCCATCTGAACGGAAATCGTCCAAAACACCATCAATTAACTGGAAAAATTCCTTGAACTATCTACTATCGTGAAGATTTTATTGAATGTTGATACATTTTTAGACGGTGTTTTGAATGATTTTATTAGATGTTGATTCTTTAATTTTTTTGATCAATTGACTGTGGTTTGGACGATTTTCATCGAGATTGATCTCAGGTGCATATTTATGAAAAATAAGGAACCTCCACTGGCACAAAAGGTTAAGGTAAAGTTTGCAAAAAATGAAAAGATTAGGGACCTCTGTTGCAATTTTCCCTTTATTTTATGACTAGCTGTTTAATTTTGTTATGATTTGATGTTTATAAGCTGATGACAAGAATGTTGAAGAGAAAGATTCATCCAGACATCGGAGTAAAGATTAATACGGACAAAAATCAGAATACTAAAACTAAAGTTGCCTATAAAGATGGCAAAATCTATGAATCCATTTCACTTCTTCAATCTCAAGGTACATACTCTCTAATTTCCTCATTCATTTCAAAGAACTTTTTTCTTTCTTTCTTTCTTTCTTTCTTTCTTTCTTTCTTTCTTTCTTTTGTCATGCTTGTGTTAGAATTGTGCCAAATATCATTCACTATTTGTTTTAATGGTATGTGATAGTCAATATCAAAATATAAAGTTGGTTATATTTCAATTCTTCTTCGGTCAAATGTGTTAATATTCCAATATAGAAAACAAAATTTCATTTAATTACTTTCTTTTTAACTTTAGATTTGAATTGCATTTTGCTTTCAAATGTAATAATTGACAGAATAATTTCATTTAAGAGTTTTTTGTTAAGGAAAAAGGTTCACCAGCCTAATCAAAATCGACAATGTATTTTCTTTTCAACGTCAAAATAGTGAATTGGGTGAGGGGTACATGTGTTGTCGTGGAGGCCTAGAGTCGGGGGTGGTATGAGGGGAGGGCTTGGCCATGAAGAACATGAATAAAAGGGTATCTGGAGAATTTAAAAATATATATATAATGTTAGTTTTATGAAATTTGTAAAGTAGTCCTTTTTTCTCCCTAAAATGTGCTTTTATTTAGGCCTTTTTAAGGGAATTCATCTTCTTCCAATGAAAATGGGTCCTCTCAACCAATAATTTCAAATAGAAAGACTAAATAAATTATGATTTGCATAATACCTTGATTTATTTCATTTTTTTCCCATTTATATGTGGCAGTCACTCAGACTTTCAATCATAATGATGAAATCCCATAATACAATTTACCCATGTTTAGATAAGACATTCAAAAACACCTTGATTAAAACTTCTATTAGGTTTCAAATGGAGATGATTTGAACAAATTACCCTCCACTATTATACATCAAGGTAAATTTCGAGAATTAAATTTATTTGATGGAAACATAACACGATCTAATTCAAGAATCTCACCTTGATATTTTGATGTGCCGGAGGGGTTATACCATTGGAGTCTTTTTAATATTTTTTGTTTTCTAGAAGATTCCATGCTCAAGTATTCTATCTTCTTTTATGATTTTTCAAAAAAGGGTACATGCTTACATTTAACTATAATTTTGGCACATTATATGAAGAATAATGTTATTCATAGTAAAAACTATTGATAGTGATCCTATATAGCATACATGTACCAAAATCAACTAGAATTTTAAATAAGCTTTTAATGATGGATGATATGGAATAATACATATTAATTTTTAATTTTGTCCATTTGTGTAACCGATAAATTTTCTAATTATATTCTTTTTTTAAACTTTCTCCAAGTCAAATATATGAATTTATTAAAGTTAATAGAAAAAAATTGCATTTCAACAAATTTTGTGGATGACTTCTCATCGCACTTTTAGATTGAAATGCATAATAAAATTATGATTTCTTGTGCTAATTTTCACATCTCTTTTTCTCTTGTAGACGTCAACATGTAACGATATTAGTAATATTGACGGGATGTTGTGAATCGATTCTCTCTCTCCTTCCTCCAATGAGAATGAATCATTATTAAGTAATGTAATATTTGGCTTCTTAAGTATTATTGTTTTCCAAATTATTTATATGTACCAACACTAGATTATGTGAATGTGCTTTGCCTTTATTTAGGCCTTCGTGTCTTCTTGTCAAAAAGGCCTTTGATTTGTCATGAATTCAAGTCTTTGATTTAATATCGTGTTTCCTAATATTTATGCAGTTACTTTTATCTAATCTTGAGCACTACACCTAACTATAGATAAAGTACATATTGTAGAAAAAATAATTTATGGATTAATTTCAAAAATCGTCATTAAAGTTTATTAAAATTTTCATAATGATTGTTAAAGTAAATAATAATAGTCTGTCAAATTTCTAACTTAGAACTTTTAAGTAACATGAATACAAATGACATTAACTAATAAGCCATGTAAGATAAATTCGCGCAGATTGCATTTGAATGCATAATTGTCAAGTTTAATAAGCATTCAATTGGTGAATCTTCACATTTTTTATTTGCGAATTTTTGAAGGTAGAGCTTTTTGGTCCGATGCATGTACTGCATAATATCATTTGGACGCAAATTGGAATTTAATATTAACTTTTGACTTTTCTATAAATTTAACTCATCGACCCATAATTAAATTTGTAGAAGATTAAATAAAAATAAAATTTTAACAATTACATCAAAATAGTTCATAATTAACTCTATTTCTTTTACCTGTCTTTAGTCGATCTATTCATAAATTTATTGAAGATTCAATATAATTAAATCGTCGACAATTACATCAAACCCGTTCACAGTTATGTTTATAACTTAATTAAGTCAATTTGATTGATTAATGATTTTGTTTTAAGGGAAGGGATACAAGGAAATTTACAATTTCGATTAAAAAAAGAAAAAAAGAAATTTATGCTATAAAGTTTTAAAGAAAGACAAAATAAGAAGCGAAAATAAGAGAAAAATAGATAAAGTCAAAATTCAAGTGTGTAATTTTATTATGACTACCCCATATTTATAGGGTACCAATGAAAATTACAACATAAATAGATTACGCTCTTTTACGGTAAGTATGACTTAACTAACCATCTCAATAAGAGTAAATGGTTATCCATATTATTTCATAATTTTATAACACTCCCATCTAATTATTATTTATATAATAACTGTCTCGTTAAATATCTAAGTTGAAAAATAAAAATTCAACAAGATAAATATACTAAATGAAGGGAATAATAATACAAATAATTACAACAAAATTGGAGTAATGAAATACTACATCGTTAAAATATTGTGAAAAAAATTCAGCGAGATAAAATTTGAGTGAAAAAAGAGTATAGCTACTCTCCCTTTTTTCAACAAATGAAAATATTTGTATTGAGCTATCCATATATTGATCATTAGCGTCTCCAATATCACAATTTTTGATGAACTATATTTCATGTTGTCTTTTAAAAGCCTTCAAATAATATCATCTACTAGGTATTTCTCTATCCTTGTTTGACGTTAACCAACATTATGGTCCATTGAAGAACATATTTTATTGTTGTTCTCTCCAAACGTCTCATACACAATTTGTAATAAGTTAGAGTATTACTTTGATAGTAAATGTTTTATAGGTTATCAACGTTAATTACACAAAAAATATGCCTCCTTAAAAAATTAATAGAAAAACCATGTACAGAAAACTCTAATAAAGGAAAATGAGTGCATTATTTTTTTGAGTATGTTGACCCCAAAAAATGTTGTCAACAGATGCCGGACCCACCCGCGCACACGTGAGCGAAAGTCCTACGCGCTAAGACACGTGGACGGTCTAGGACGAAAGAATCAGGGGCGTGAGACTAGCTCAACGATGCGGGACGAGAACGTTCGGAATCCGACGGAATGTTCGTGATCCGATTGTACAATAATTACCAATCGGTGCTCATGAATGTGCATGTAAATATGTATGAACTCGTATTGTGTTGTAAAGCAATATGAAAGAGAGAGTAAAGTATGGTTTCTTGTATTGATTCTTGTATTAGTCCTTCAATATTATATAAGGGAAGTATTTATAGTGGTATATGTGAAATGGCAGCCCTCGGATGAGGTGGCACGTGGCCTTATCTCTTTAATCCAAACATCCAATCCTAGGCATCATCCTTGACTTGTTAGTTTGCTACGCATTTATTACTTATGTAGAACCCCCATACTAATGACAAGACTTGACATGTACACTTATGACAAACGTTCCATCAATCATTCTAACAAGATCTTTATGTAGAAGATCTCTTGGAAGGAGTGATCATGGAAGACATTCCTTCATGGTTTGGAGGCTTCTGCTTCGACTTTGGATTCGGGGCTTCTGCCACTCACGTAGTATTTTCGCTTTAGGGCTTCAGCTATCTTCACAGGCCTCGGCATATGGGCCTCGGCATGAAGGGCCTTGGCCATACAAACCACCTCGGCTAGAGCGCCACGTGGTTCGGATTAAGTGGGCCATAGGCCCAAGTAGGTTGGCCAAGTATGACAAGACGTAACAATAGTCTCCCAAGTCCAAGTATAGTCATTTATGTAATGTGTGGACTTTAATGAAGTAAAGCCAGTGGGTTGGGTAAAAATTGAAAGAATTTTTGAACCATAAATAAAATTCATCGTAGTTTGGGAAGACTCTCCCATCTCCACTGCAAGTGTTATCTTTCTCTTGGAGTGATGCTATCTCCGGTGAATCCGTACAGAGGAGTTGTGGTGGGTGTCAACTGATGATCCAATATCATTTTGTCAAAGGCCGATCCGAATAGAATATTGACAGAGCTACCATTGTCAACTAACATTCGTTTGAGCCCATTTCGTGCTATGACGGCTCTCACAACAAGTGCATCGCAGTGGGGGACTTTGAACTCCTTCGGCATCCTCCTGGGTGAAGGCAATGGGTGGAACTTGGTTCCTCCGGGAGCTGCTATCCACAATGTCACTTGCCAAAAGGGGGTGTTTAGCCTCCCGGGCGTAATTCCTTTTGGCGTTCCGTGTTTCACCGCCAACATATGGTCCTCCGAATATGGCATACACCTTGTGGATAGGGGCCTCATCCTAGGCTTGTCGGTTTCTTCGATGCCTGCGTCCTTCCCCGGGCCTCTCCGTATCATGCTCCCTTCGTCGGGGGGAAACATCCCCTGACGGAGAGCAGCCTCCTCACGCCCACGTCGATTGTCATGCCTAGGCGGGGGCCTGTTCGCCTGTGGCGATTCATTTCTGTCTCTGGGGGGTTTCAGTCGGGAGTGGTGCGCATAGTCTCGACAATCTGCTGTGTCGTGTCCATAGGACCGGTGGTGTACACAGTATCCCGATGGGTTCTGATTTGACCTATTTCTAGGTTCCAAACCCCGGCCTCGACCTCTCCCCCTACGGGATCCTCGTGGGGTTTTCGTCTGCTGGGTGTTAGTAATTGGGTTGATATCCTCATATGTCAAGGTGGGGACCGCGTTCAAAGTGATGGTGGCAAGTGCTTGGCCAGAACTCTCATTTTCAGCCTGGTTCATTTGGTAGTCCATTAGGTAGAAGGTCAGCTCTCTAGCGTGCTGCCTTTGAGGAAGTGGTAGGCCCCTACTTGCCCTGTTCCTATGCTCAATCAATTCTTCATTGATGATTTCCTGCCTCATCATTTCGAGTAGGACATCATAGGTGGTGGGATCTTGATTTTGCACGTCCCTCTAGAATAGGGTATTCATGTTCAGACCTCCCCTTAATGCAGATAGCGCCTCACGATCGTGACTTGCATGTGATACGTCATCTCATCGATGAAGCGTGATAGGAAGCTCTTTAGGGACTCTCCATATGCTTGTCTCATGTCTTGGAGACGTTGGATGGGGGCCTCAACTTTATCGCGAACCTCTTCAAGAATATTGTCTTGAACTCGAGCCAACTTCTTATGCTCACAGGCGGTAACCTACTATACCAAATTTCGGCCGCTCTACTAAGTGTTGAATGGAAAGCTCTGCACGTCATAGTTGGGGTGGCGTTCTTTAGGCTTATGTGAGTTTTATAAGCATTCAAGTGTTTCTCTGGGTCGTCTCTTCTGTCATACTTTGGTATCTTTAGCATTACATAGTGGCTTGGAACCTGGGCACTCCTTAGTTCCCTTGAGAACGGCAAATTCTCATCGTCATCGTCTAAGTCACAAGACCTCTGCTGTTCATCTGAATCGTATTCATCAGCCTCATGCCGTGGTTGTTGGTGGGAGGTCCCGGGACGATTCCTAGCCTCTTCCTCCCTCCTTTGGCGCCTATTTCTAGGCAGAGCAACACGGGGTACAGTTTCATGTCTTTCTTTCGGCTACTGGGGCATTGGAGGTGGAGGAGGTGGCCTTATCCAAGGCTGATGAGTCTACTGTTGCCTAAACCTCGGTTCAGAGGAGCTAATTCTGTCAAATATATTGCCTGCCCTCCTATGTCTTGGCTCCTACTCATACGGAAGTGGGAAGTTATCATAGTTCAATGGGACCTCTGTGGGTCGGCCAGAAGCGTAGTTGGAGAAAACATTAACTTCCACTTCCCTTTCAAATGAGCTTCCACCTCGGCTATAGTCCGGCGAGGCAGTTCTATGACTTTGAATTTCATCTTCTTGCTGGTAGTGCCCTTGAGGGGTGTATGGAGAAATGGGGAAGCCTCCCTGGCCCTACATTTGGGCTATGAGCTCCCGCATAGCCAAGTTTTGGCTAGCAATATCTCTCATGTTAGCCGCCATGGCAGCCATTTCTCTTGACAATCGTGCTGTCACCTACATTCCACCTCTTCTTTGGTGGTGGTGGAGTCTTTGCCGTGTTGCTGGGGCAACGGGTAGAACAGGCACATTTACGTTTACTCTTACCCTCCTAGGGGGTGTCTTCGTTTGAACTCATTTTCTTTTCGTCTGACTTTTCAGATTTTGCTAAGTTGTAGGGCTTACTCTTGTTCTTTTTCAAGAACAAATTCGTTTTCAAGGGGGATGCCCAAATACTCTTCAATAAGCTTTCACCACAAGGTTGTTCGTGGTTATGGTATGGTTTCCCATAGACGGCGCCAATCTGTTGACCCCAAAAAATATTGTCAACAGATGTCGGACCCACCCGCGTATACGTGAGCAAAGGTCCTACACGCTAAGACACA